GAGACCCCGGGCTGGTGCGGCCGCCCAGAGGGGGAATGTGGCTGGAGTTGATAGAGCGAGGAGGAGAGACCAAGGGCTTTGTGCTTCCCGCTTCGTGAGCTGGAACGCTGCTGCCGGCTTTGGCGGAGTCACTCAGCAGTAGTAAAAGGACGCCCTGCCGCAGTGAGGATATTAAAATGAGTGATTATGGCAGAAGCAGGCCGATTAATTACGATACTGCAGGATCCTGGCAAGAGGTGACAGGCCTTGTTGCAGGTCAGTAGGAAAAACAGTTGAGGGAGAGAGGGTCTGGTTGAAAATCAAGCAGTGATGTGCCGGGTGGAAGGGCACTCTACTGCCCGCCTGTGACTACTCGGGTGCCTCTTTTTTCCTTTCTCATTTTCCTAATAAATCTACCCATTTAAAGTTAAAAAGAGAGAGTAAAAGGGTGACTTGTAGGAATTGGCCAATGAGCTCCTCCTGTGATTTAGTCTGTGCAGGCACTAAAGGACTGATGAGGGCTGGTTTGCCTAGTTATCATGTATACCAAGTAACTAAATCCGAGGGTCCCTCTATGGCAATAATGAATTTATAAAGTAGGTCCTAAGAAACCCCCCCTACCTTATGCTGTGAGGAAATAATTCACATTTTGCTCCTAGATCAGGCCCCTGTCTTAACAGCATCTCATAACTCCTTTGTCTTCATACAGATTTTCACAGTCTGAAATTGTGTATTTCCATTATTTGATTAATTCCAGCATCTGCTTAATCCCAGCCTCAAAAAAAGGGGGAATTTTCAGTCTTGCTATGGCAGACAAATTTCTAATTATAAAGTAAATCTATAGTATACATTTCTCATTCTTGATATATTTGTTTTCCTACCAAATATAGTTACTTTTTACGTTTTGTTCCTAAACACAGGACATCAGAAAACACAGGAATTTTACAAGTAACAGCCAAGACTATTAGTAAAAGTGGAATTATGCTTTGTTCATTTCATCCTCTTTTTGAAAAACCAAGTACTTACCATATGACCCAGGAATTGGTTTCCTGCATTTATCAAAATATTTGCAAATTTATGCTCACACTGATGTTTCTAGCAGTTCCTAATTGCCAAAACCTGGAGCAGCCACACTGTCCTTCAGTACATGGGTGCGGTACATCCAGGCAATGGAATATTATTCAGCATTTAAAAATATGTTACCAAGCCATAAAGAGACATGGAAGAAAATTAAGTGTATATTAAGTGAAAGAACCAATCTGAAAAAGTTACTGTATGATTCTAACTACATGACATTCTGGAAAAGGCAAAACAATGCAAACAGTAAAAAGATCAATGTTGCCAGGTATCAAGAGGGAGGGAGGAATGAATAGACGGAGCACAGAGGATTTTTTAAGCAGTGAAACTATGGTACCATAACAGTTTTGGATATGTCACACATTTACCCAGCCCACAGACGTACAACACTAGAATAAACCTAGTGTAAATATGGGCTCTTGGTGATATGACATGTCAATGTAGGTTCCCCGACTGTGACAAATGGACCACTTTGGTGGGGGATGTTGATAATGGGAGAAGTTGTGTGTCAGGGCAAGAGGTGTATTGGAAATCTCTGCACTTGCCTCTCAGTTTTGAACCTTAAAACCGCACTAAAAAAAAAAATCAAGTCTTAAACACCTAAGAACTGACAGCTATTGAGAGCTCATGGTTACCGTGTTCCAGGTATGTACACTGAGCTTTTGTCTCCATGCGATAACCGTACTTTGCAGGGATTTTGGAAAAAGCAAATATAATACCACTTAGAGTGGTGCTGGCACACAACACTCAACAAATGTCAGTGGTTATCATTTTTCTACTTTGTAGATGAGAAAGCTGAGGCTTAGGAAGATCAAGTAGCTAGCCCAGCACTGCATAGTAGATGTAGACTCAGGTGCCTGGCACAGTTTTGACTTGCACTATTGTCATTCCGTGATAGTCATGTGTTGTGCGGGGTCACCCTATGCATGGCAATGTTTAGCAGCATTCCTGAACTCTATCCACTAGACGCCATAGAATCTCCCTATGCTTCCATGTTGTGACGACAAAAATGTCTCCAGACATTGCCAGAAGTGTCACAAAGGGCATTAAGAACCACTCCAACCTAGAACCACGGCAGGGGAGCCACTGTGCTTCGCTGCCTGACATGGACCACAGAGTCAATGATCCCTCTTCGGAATCATCATCTGCAGTTTCTCTGCAGATGTGGGTCACCTACCAGTAATACCATTGCCATTTTTAATTTTATGTGTTTAGTGTTGTTATAGCAGTAAAAATTATTCTCAATTTCCAATCACTAGGAGAATTATTCTTTTTGTTCAGGTTTTAAAGCCGTAAGTATTTGTTTGTAAATAAAACTTATTGTCAGCACCTATACTAACTTCTGTACACACATTTCTCTTGGCTTGTCTCACAGCTCTGCAATTTCATCATCATAAATGCACCCCAGTGTGAACCGCAAGGCTGCTGCTTTCTGTCTTGTCAGGACCCAGTGATTCTTTGTGGCTCGGTTTGTTGTGCTTCAGATATAAAGGCTGCAAATACTGTTCTACTTAAGTCAACAAGGACTGCAAAGCAGCTGCCTTTAAATTATGGTAAGCGAGGGACACAGGCACAAGACTTGAGGAAATCTATTTCCAGAACTTGAATTTCTATATATATATACTTTTCTAAAATTGATATGACTGAGACATTTGTTCAAAACTGCATCCTCCCACTCTACAAACGAAAGTGTTTCTCTTTTACCCAAAATCTCACTATGGACTTTGCCATGGATATAAAAATCTCAGAGGTACCAAATTTAGGGACAATTAGAAACGCTGATGTTAACATGGTAACACATCCTTTTCAAATGAAGAGAATTCCAGTTCTTTGCTTTCAATAGATTGGAAGAAGGACCTCGTGGAATTTTCAGCCAATTTAGATCAGTAAAAATAACTTCTGTAGATTACTGGATTTTTGGCATATAACTTGAAAGAAAATCAGAGTTGAATGACATGACTACAACAAAACTTTTTCCATTTTTACCTACATTACATGATCAGCATTTCACAGCACGTACAGCTATAGAACGGGAGAAAAAGAATAGCCAAAAGTAACACACTCCCACGGAAACAGGACCTACTTTATCTTAATTCCCTCTATCTTATTAAAGGATGCATTTCCAATAAAATTTACTTTTTATGTTGAATAGCTGAGCTGTAATACATTTATATTGCTTTGGTTAACTGCGTTCTAATAATTGTAATAATCCTCAGTCTACCAATACACAGAGCCTCAGGGTCACAGGAAATGAGGAAATTTAATTTTTGTTTCATAGTTTTTTGTGGCAGAGAAATAAAAAGACATTCAGTATAAAAAGGGTAAAATTCTGGAAAGAAAAAGTTGAAAAAGAAAAAGGAGTTACAGAAAATGCTTAGTAACTTTCTACTGGTCCTCCACAACCTGAAGGCCCAGGCCCCACAGTCTGGTACTCAAGACCTTCCAAATTCTAGCTCTGACGTCTCACCACCCTCCTGCCTCAGCAGATGTGAATAGGCCGCTGTAGGGTAAATGAAAAAGCATCAGGCTTTTCTGCTCTCCTGCCATTAGGATGGATGATGGATCCCAGCGGTCCTGAATGCACGCCTGATGGCGGGCACCTGGAGTAGGGTGTGGGCATATGGAGATGGGATTCACCTGGGCTGAGACTAGGCTTATAAGGACAGCGTCAGGGGGACGCCAGCAGAAGCAGAACAGAACAGCAGAGCGAAAGAGAATGAAAGAATGGAACAGCAGAGAAGAAAGGCCATGAGAGAACTCCGAAGAGCCCAGAAAGAGTGAAGATTTGCTGGGGGCTGGGTGGCCTGCCAGCCTCCCAGCCCCCACCCTCCCCAGCACCCCTGGTAAGTCCTGTAAGTCCCAATAAAAGGCTGCAAAAGCCACCGAGGGCTCCAGGACACTCTTCTCCTTACCCCGTCTGCTCAGATCATAGAAAACCTACTGTGGCCCTTCCTGCCTCTACAGCCTCTATTCTTCACCTACATCTTTTTTATGCCAGTTTTGTGATTTTTGTTAATTCCTCTCTGTGCATAGAAATAGAATAACTCAAGGTCCACGTCTGCCACCTCCCCCAACCATAGGGAATTAAGTGATCTTCGCTGCTCTGGCGACCAAAGGTAGGCACTTACCACCTGAAAGTGGTATTTTCCTGTTCTCTTTGTAGATAATGGGGGCAGCTGTTCAGTTTCTCCCCTCAATGCAAATCAGAAGCAAGCTGAGGAAGGAGAGAGTTCAGACCGTGCGGTCGGCTCACCAGAGTGAGGTGCAGTATTTATCCATCTTAAAGATACATGAGAGGGGGGTGAGAAGGTAGGGGCTCATCATCAACAAGGCTTGGCAAATCCTACACACAAACACACATGCTTGGCATTTCCCTTTGGAATGTGCAAGATGATACATCCACCCTGCCTTTGCCTCAGCCAACAGCCCTCTCTCATTTGGTGACAGAAAAATATTAATTCCCTAAGCAGCCTTGTGAGTCAAGGGGACCCTAGCTAATTGTTGACTCGAGATACATGTAAAGACAGTGTTAAATGATGGGTGTGGGAAAGCAAAATCAGAATCCAGATAATGTCAAAAAGTTTTGCATGAGGGGGCACGGGGAGGAGGTACCTTTACCTTCAATACAATTAGTAATGTTTGCTAGTGCTCTCTAGAGGCTGCTGGTTTAATGGCAGTGTCGCTACAACACCAAGGACTGCTGAGTTCCACTTCCAGTCAGATACCAGTTGAGAGCTGGATGCCAGAGAGAAGGCAGCCACCTGTGAGATAACTGATACCCAGTCCCAGTTGAAAAGTCAGAGGTGAGCCGGTAGATTGTAAGGCACAAGGATGTAATTTTCTTTATGTTCCTTGCTCCTGTTAGTCTACCCTACCCCGCCTACCCTGCTAACTGTACAAAGATGGCGGCCGGTCAGTTTTCAGCAGCTGAAGTCCAGGTGCAGCTGACCTCCTGGCTCCTCACTTGCTAGCAGTAGGAAAAACCATCATAGGCTTGAACTCACCAAAGGATGAGTGACCAAGACCATTTCGATGGTGGCTTCTCAGTTCTGGGTAAGCCATAAAACTGACTCAAGTAAAATACTGGGTCACTGTGGCTAAGGGAGATCTGCATGTCACCTTCTGGGCCCTGTCCTGAGCTCTCCTGGGTGGAACTCAAGAGTGAAGAGATCAGACCAGCCAGGCCTGTGTGACCATGGCCTTGACCTCCCAAGAACTCTTGAACTGGAGCAGGGCCTCAGGTTAGCTGTGAAACATAAGGATTTCTTCTCTCCTGAAGAACGGGTGATTGGGATTCTTGTTTTGCTTTTGACAAAGATGGAAAGTCAACCCTCACTGACTGGCAGAAAGGAAGGAGATAGATGCTTAAATCCAAGCTCATCCTTAGAGACTGAGCAGGAATTAGAGGGGTGGGCTCATGTATTTTAATAGATTCGTATGTGTTCCCCAGATAGAAACAGGGGTATTGATCAGTCATGTTGCTGAATGGAGAGTCAGAAAGGAAGGATGACAGCATCCTGCTGAGGAACAGAAGGAAAAGGAGAACTGACCATGAGCTTTATGATTGTTCCAGTCAACTGTACTTTAGAAACACACAGTCTTGGTAATGTGAAGTAAACAGGTGGCTCCACAAACCAGAACATAAGGACACAGACAGTGAAAGCATCCAGAGGTCAGCGCAACACCAACTGGAGTCTCCAAGCAGCCCTGGTATTTACATCATTTTGATCACAGGGGCCAAATATAGTCTGCACACACCTGGAGGCACGCCAGCTCGCATCAGGGTTACGTGAGGGAGCTCAAGCTAGACGACTGAATGACGACAGAGAGCAGTCCTGCCCTCGCAACCCTCCCTGCCAAGAGTCCAGATACAGGAGCCAGCCATCTCAGACCCTCCAGGCACTGCATGAGACCAACGCAGTGGCATCACTAAGTTGTCTCCTTGTGCCTGAAAGATGTGCCTTGCCTTTTTCTAGCTGTAGTTGTGCTAAGACGTGAAAGTAACTAATGTAAGCCATCTTTTGACCATGAGGGGAACTTTTGAAGAAAACCAACACTTAAAGAAGGGAAAATGGAGCAGAAGAACCTGCCTTTGATGATATTATAGAATCAGTCAATTAACAATGGAGCTGGTCAACTTCTGGACTTATTTTACAAGACGGCAATTTCCTCATGGTTTAAATCACTTTATGTTGTTTTCTGTCACTTGCAGGCATCCTAACCCATAGACTCCTCAGCAAGCTCTACTAGGACAAGGACAGAATGCCTATAATGACTTGTCTACAGAATAGATGTTTGATAATTTGTTGTTGCTGAGGAGGTGAAAGATTTTGTGGTAGAAACTGCTAGTTGCTTACCTGACCACCACTCTCCTTCTTCTTTAATATATAGAACTTCTCATTTGGTCTGAGTGTGCTGCCATCTAGAACAAAAGACTATACTTCCCCACCCTCTTTGCTACAGATACCCCAGAGCTCAGGCCAGAGAGATGTGAGTAGAAGTGTTGTACTGTGTGGAGAGCTGACTCAGATAGATGGACATTTTTTCCCCTTCTGTCTTTCCAGACACCATCTCAGATCATGAGCTGACCTTGAGACTGGAAGCCAAGACCTAGGATAGTCAAGCAGAAAGATAGAATCCTGGGCTCCTAGTGGCAAAGCAGAGCCACCACAGCAGCTCTGACCTTCTTGGCTTCAGATTTCTTGTCTATGAGTGAAAAATATACCTCGATTTTGTTTCAGATACTATTATTTTGGAGTTTTCTCTTATATTCAGCTAAGTAAGATCCCAACTAACATAGTCTCTTTAACAACTTTCTTTTAAAATACTGAAGACTGGCAGAGAAGAGTATGAGTATGCAGGACTCTCCGCCTGAGTATCAGCATAGCCTTCCCAGCTTCCTTTCTTTCTAGTCCCGAGACAGCATTTGGGAGTCACCTCATCAGTGCCTCGGCGAGACCCCTAGACTGCGAGCAGAAGACTCCAACTCTGGATAATGAAGCCAAAGGAGACTTAGCACAAGGACATTGGAAACCACTGAATTGGCAGAAGAGAGAAGCACCCTGGGAATGGACATGTATCCATGCAGCTCCGCAGGCTGAATCAATAACAACCTGGGGAGGTTGACACTGCTGCTGCGGCCCTGCCGTCTTTGTGTGTATGAGTGGCCTTTAACCCATACACTCACCCAAGTGATGTTTCAGGGTAGATGGCATGAATCCATGAATAGGGAGAGGTGACTCTTGAAAAGAAATCCAGAGTGTTACTGAGATGGAGAAATGGAAACGATGCAAGAAAAAAAATGATACATATCCTGAGTCAGGTCTCACCTGGGTCTAAGTCTCCTGTCCCTCTCTTCTTCATGAAAGACATCCCCTTTTCTGAGTCAGTCAATTGCAATCCCTCACTTTGGCATGGCCAACCTATCCTGTTCTCCTTTCTGTCCTTTTATTTTCTTTGCTCGTTAGAAAGAAATGATTGGACAGGAATATACTGTCCTATATATTCTTTAGCACAGCATTCCATATACAACGTAGGGAAGATCAAAGATGAAAGACAATACTTTTTGCAATAAATGGTAATTTCAATGCTTGGATTTTCATACAAGTTGAGTAACGTAAGAGATTAAATCTTTTTGAAGCTATAAAGATTGTCATTGTGCATATTATTAGTATTTTAATGTTTAAATATTTTATGATTCATGCATTTTGAAAACTAGATATTAACAATTATAAAAACAATATTCTCTTACACATTTCTAAAATGAATTTTACATTTTTAATATTTTATAAAAGATTTGAAATTCTTTATTCAAAACTTAAAATGCAAGTCATTCTTCCTTTTTCACCCAAATTTGTAAAGTTCCTAATTACCTTCCTTTTTATGTTTCCAATAAAATACACATACATCAGAAGTACATTCTTAAAAAGTAATTTCAGGGCCTCCCCGGTGGCGCAGCGGTTGAGCACTGGGTTGCGAAACTGCGCGCGGCCTCTGCGGCGCCGGTTCGATCCCCAGCTGCTCCCCGGCCACCAGAGGAGGGTCCCACATGGCGCGCAGACCTCTCCTGCCGCCCGCTGCTCCCCTCAGCAGTGTACTTCGGTCCTTCTGCCTGCTCTGCTCCCCGCTCTGGCTCTGGTGAATTCTCTCACCCTCCCGCACTTCTGACTGTACCCAGTGCATGTATAAACAAAACAAACAAACAAACCAGCAAACAAATAAATAAAGCATGCCTCTATTAAAAAAAAAGTAATTTCAATTTGTCAAAAGTCAGTGGTTTAAAATTTAGCTTAATTTCATGTTTATTTTTGGTTGCTATAAAGATGAGAATACAGTATTTTATAAATAAAAGAGCTTTTTTGTGTCCTGTAAACAACCTTCCCTTGCAGGACTCCCTCTTTGGTCTCTGCCTCTTTAATTGTTGAAGAGGCCCCTGGCAGGAAAATGGGACATTTCTGAGTTCTTAGACTCTCTATCTGCTTATAAGGGCTCACTTTGGAAAGCTAAGTGAGGAAATCAAGCGCCTTTTCCCCAACTTTTTTCAACAGATTTATTCCTGAATTAACATGCAAAGTATAGTTATTATAAATCAAGGACTTTTAAGATAAATTTAAGATTTCAATCTCTTGCTGACTTTAATAACGTGAAAAAAAAAACAAACTCTTACTTCAGAATCTGAAATTTGAGACTACTTTTCTATTTCTTCAGCTCCTAATAAGCACTAAGAAGCAATTTGCATCAATTCTCCACCTACTCCTTGGCATCCCCAATTCCTCCAGCAGTTATTGCGAAGGTGGCTTCATTTTCAGGCATCTCAGGGCTAACAGAATATAAGAGAACAGAGTTTATAAAAAGCTCTATTTCTATAAATACTATATGCATGTCACAGGCACCATACTCCTATCAGTCTGAGTCTCCAGAGACATCTCAGAGTTGGTACAGCTAAATGTGGACCACACAATTTATCTACAAGTATTATTGACCCCATAAAACATTTATTGAACAACCTCTTTACGTAAGGTCCTAAATGTCAAGAAAAAAATCACTCCAAATTTAGAAATAGGTGAAAGGGGTAACTGGGTTTTCTTACAGCATATGTGCAGTGGGCCTTCGGGGGCTATTTAATTCTGAAGGGGTGTGCACCTTCCTAGTGATTAGAGTTAATGTCGGGGTAAAGTGTGAAAGGTTTGAAATAAACTAAAAGGTCACTAGGTGCCTTCAGTGAAAACATAGCTTGTCTAACACATTCTTCCAGGTCATCCAATTCTGTGAGGGCTCTGTCTTTTGTTGACTTTGAGCTATTTTACAACTTTGTAAGTAGTAGAAAACTGAGTAAAACATATTCCTAGGCACAGAAATGTAAATGGTGTGAGGAGGAAAACAACTGTTGTTCTATGACTATTGACCTATTTTTAATTAATTTATAATTCATTCCAGCATTCTGTATTTGACTACGTTATGTGTGGTAGATTTTTCCTTTGATCTGGTTAGACAATCTGATTGGTTTCCACATTAATTAATGAGCTAAATAAAATCTTTGGCATTTTATGTTGTAGATGAGTCATGATTATATGCTGTTTTAAATTTTGCCTTTTAATTTATTCTACAACTCTACAGGAGCAGAGGTATAAAACTGAAGCAACACAGGTGATTCTGTAGCAATGGAAATGAATTCCATTATGTGGTAAAACAACAGATATCCCTCCAGTTGAACAACTTTTGCCTCCATGAGCAAATTTATTTTAGCATTCCTTTGACTAACTACATAAATTTCTGGTCTTTAAATTATCCTTTGAATCTGTGTTTCCTCATATTTTTTAAAGATTTATTTATTATGCATTCAAGAGCTGGGGTACAGGCCAGGGTGCAGGGGTGGGGGTGAGAGGATTCACCAGAGAGTGGGGAACAGAACAGGCAGATTGACTGAAATACACTGCTGAAGGGAACAGCGAGCGAGACAGGAGAGGTCTGCTGCGCCATGCGGGTCAGCTCCCTGGCTGGGAATCGAACTGTGCTGCAGTGGCTACTGATACCTTCATAGTGCTGAGACTTACCCCTTGCGCCACCAGGGAGGCCCAGTGTTTCCTCATTAATTAAGGAGTTGAATAGAATCTTTGACATGTGTTCATTTCAAATTTATTTGCAAGAAAGTCAAATGTTTAACTTTTTGAAGGTCATACTTTGACAAGTACTAGACCCTATAGCTTTTACAAAAACAAGACATTCTTTGCTCCCAAGAAGTCTAGCAGATAAGCTGTGACATACGACACACATGCAAAGTGAGCTAAGTCTCATAAAGTAGGTATGCATGTGACAACTCTAAAGAGAAGACGTGCTAGGGAGGCTGAGTAGGAGTGGCCTCACAGAAAATTTGAAGAGGCAAAATGGGAGTACCCAGGTATAGGTAATAGCATGAGCTAAAAAATGGAACAGATAGTTTTGTGTACATGAAAGAAGGGAAAAATAAGAAATTAGATTTAGATATGTTGCTTGACGCACACAGTTCAAACATTCATGCAGAGGAGTTCAGGAAGCAGCTGGAAATGAATGGCTAAAAGTGGAATGAAAGATTAGACCAGAAACAGAAATTTAAAAATCCTGACCATGAGAGAAAGAGCTTTCTGCTACTTTGTGCTGTTATTATATCCAGGTTATGGTGACTGTACAGGCTACTCAGAACTGTCATCTATTAATTATTTACTATTAATAATTACTATGTATATAATGTGTGCGATTCCCTCTTGAATCTGCCTTACTCTTGAGTGTGTACCCTCACCTGCAATAAAGCTTCATTTCTGACACCTACTCTGACTCCCTCATGAATTTCTTCCTGCACCAAAGTCAAGAACCTCTGGGGTCAGTCAGCAGTCCCTGTTTCATCAAAAGGGGGCATAAGGGGTAGTGGTGGGGAAAAAAAGTATTCTCAAAAACTCTAGTAGACATCAGAGATAGCATGATTTAAGTGGCTTCATTCCTATACTCAACTACAGAAACAGTGTAGGCCTAGATTCAGGTAGCACGGATTCTAATCCTGTGGTGTCCTATCTATTAGTTGTATGTGGGGGCCAGCCCATTCATTTACTCTTTAAGAAGATATTTATCGAGCACCAGCTATATCCCCCTTGTAGGTACCTGAATGTATATGTGAGAAAAATAGACAAAGATTCCTGTCTTTGTGGAACTTAATGTTTGAGAGGAAGTGACAGCATAAATAATGGAAATAATAAAAACATGATATACTGGAATATAAGTTTACGTGGAAAGAAAATAGAGCTGAGAAAGGGGGATCAAAATACGGAAATGGGGAGGAAGCTTTGTGATTAGAAATAGGGACATGGGGCCTCCCCGGTGGCGCAGCGGTTGAGCGCTGGCTTGCGAAGCTGCCCGCGGCCTCTGCAACGCCGGTTCGATCCCCGGCTGCTCCCCGGCCACCAGAGGAGGGTCCCACATGGCGCGCAGACCTCTCCTGCCGCCCACTGCTCCCCTCAGCAGTGTACTTCCTTCTGCCTGCTCTGCTCCCCGCTCTGGCTCTGGTGAATTCTCTCACCCTCCCACGCTTCTGACTGTACCCAGTGCATGTATAAACAAACAAACAAACAAACAAATAAATAAATAAAAACATGCCTCTATAAAAAAAAAAAAAGTACTGAAAAAAAAAGAAATAGGGACATGAAGACGAGCATTGTTGAGAAGGTAACATTTGATCAAAGACTTGGAGATAACCAGAAAGAGGGCTATGTGGGGAAAGATTAGTCCATCTAGGGAGAACAGTAAGTACAAAGGATCTAAGGCAGCAGGAGTATGCCTGGCATATTTATAGAAGATCAAGATGCCCCTTGAGGTTGGAGTACAATGAGTATGGGGGTGGCGGTGAGGGGAGGGAAGCAGGAGGAAGAGGAAGAGGGCCGTTCATGTAGTGCTTTATGAATTACTGTAGACACTAAGCTTTTTGCCTGAATTAAAATGAGAAGCCATTGGAGGAGTTTAAGCAGATGATAGTTTTACAAACAATCACCCTGGGCTCTGCTGAAAATTGATACAGTGGACAATGGTCACCTAACTGCTTGGGGCCTTGGTTTCTACACCTGGAAGGTGACTCTATTTATTCCTCTCATGCTTTGCACTTTCCCTGCCCTGCACTTACCACATTTTCATTGGTATGAATTCATTATTTAGCATCACTGCAAGCTTTAGTAGATCAGGGACCAAATCTGTTCATCAACAAATTTCCTGACTCTCTAGTATCTGTGCATAGTAGGAACTTCTTAGTGAAATAAATAGTTTTTGAGAAAGAAATGCACACATTTGAATTTTGCACAGTACCTGCCACTGGAATAATTAGATGCTCAGAAGATGCAGTTCTATTTAATACTATATAAAAGAGAATCTGGTTAAGAAGAATATATTTACCTGTCATAAATCTTGGCAATTCTGAGTTCTCCTCTTCCCTTTCTCAAGCTTATTCTTGTTGTTGAAGCATGAGCCAGAATGTGTCCCCCGATGGGCTTTTTGGGGTCTGCCTGAAAACTGAATTAACAAAACACCTTTCAGGTTTCATCATGTGGCTATACTAACATCTGCAATTACAAGGCACCTTCTGTGGATGATGGGGGTGGGGTAGGCGCGTCTTCTCAACAAGCAGAGGCAGAAACTCTGCAGGTGGAGCTGCTTCATACCCCACTGCCATTCAGTTCAGACTAATGAGATTCCTATGACAAATGGCTCACATTTTAATTTTTTTAAAAAAGAGAAAACACAAAAAGAACATAATGAGCTGTTTTAGGAAACTCGTAGGGTTAAGTAATTTTTTTTTTACAAAATACAAAAATTGAATTTATTATTTATTCATCAGAAATATTTATTAACGAGCTATGTGCCAAGTGTAGTTGAGTCTAATAAATAAGCTATGATGTAATGAGAGCAGACTGAGAAACTCCTTGATTTTTTAAAAAAGATTGATTTGTTTATGCATACAAGAGCTGGGGTGTAGGCCAGAGGTTTGAGAGGTGAGCAGATTCACCTGAGACAGAGTGGGAGCAGAACAGGAGGATCTACTGAAATACACTGCTGAGGGGAGCCGTGGGGAGACAGGAGAGGTCTGCAGCACCATGTGGGTCAGCTCCCTGGCCAGGGATTGAACTCATGCTGCAATGGCTGCTGATAGCTTCCATAGTGCTGAGAATGAACCCCTTGTGCCACCAGGAAGGCCCAGAAACTCCTTGTTCATCACTATACTGTGGAAGCCTTCAAGGTTGAACTGATTATACATTTGTAGTGAGGATAATCTCAGAAATATTGTTGTCTTTATCACTGATGCCTAATGTCTCCTTTTCTTTTTTTTTTTAATTAATTTATTTATTTATACAAGAACCGGGGTACAGGCCAGATGCGCGGGAGGGTGAGAGGATTCACCAGAGCCAGAGCAGGGAACAGAACAGGCAGACTGACGAAATACACTGCTGAGGGGAGCAGTGGGTGAGACAGGAGAGGTCTGCCACGCCATGTGGAATTCTCGCTGGCCGGCTGGGATGGAACCAGCGCTGCAGAGGCTGCAGACAGCTTCACAGCATGGCGCTCAACCACCTGCGCCACCAGGGGAGGCCCCCTAATGTTTATTCTTCTAAAGAAGGATACAAAAAAGATAAGCAATTACTATGTCTAGTCATGTGAATTCAAAATGATTATGATTGCAAGATAGTCATCAATACTGACATTTATCTTGAGTGATACACTCCGCAGGTAGGAAGAGAAATGTTCTTAGAAACCTTAATAGTGAGCCCTTCAAAAAAACAGCAAATTGAATCCAGCAGCATATTACCATGACCAAGGAAGATCTAATCTAGGAATACAAGAGTGATTCAACATAGGGAATCATCAATGTAATATGCCATATCAACAGAATGAAGGAAAAAGAAAACACATGATAATATCAACTGATGCAGAAGAAAATCTAGACTTTGAAATCACCAATAAAGGAAACAGAACATGAACAAGTGAATCTACATGATCAGAATAAACTGTGATAGAGCACAATAGCCTCAGCTGAGGGAGGCCATAGTTACAGTGGATTCAAATTCTGCTTGCTTCACTCTAAGCATGAGGCTTGGTGTAGTGAGGATGTGGCTGACTGGCATGCAGTTAAGTAGACTGTAGGTTGGTGGGAGTAAGAAGCTCTCTGGTAAAGAAGTCTAATATAAAGAGTTGTTTAATTAAATAGCTCAGAGGTTAAACAAGACCATAAGATCCCTGATGGACTGGATAGGATTGGTTAAGAAACTTCAGGTCCAATATGGAAATAAACACCAAGATTTAGTTCTGGAATAAACCATTGTCAAGAAAGCAGCCAGGTAGCTGACAGCAGTAAAAAGTTAAGAGGCTGGGTGCTCCACACAGGCAGCTGAAGAGGTATTAAAGCAATAAAGTCATTTTAATCAGATAAAATTGCTTGAGATGAATTGTCTCTATAATGCTTAATGCCACTCTTTCTCTTTTTTAAAGATCTTTAAAATTTATTTATGTATACAAGAAATGGGTGTACACAGAGGTGCGAGGGTATGTGTGTGAGAGGATTCACCAGAGATAGAGTGAGGAGCAGAACAGGCAGATTTTCTGAAATATACTGCTGAGGGGAGCAATGGGTAAGACAGGAGAGGTCTGCTGCGCCACATGGGTCAGCTCCCTGGCCAGGGATCGAACTCAGGCCACATTTATGATAGTGCTAAGACTTAACCCCTAGGCCACAGGGGAGGCCCTTAATGCCACTCTTTCTAATGGAATGGCTCTAATCTTCCCAGGTCACTACATTATGGGTAGTTCTTCAAGGTTTTAAAAGAATCCGATGTGCAATTCCAAAGAGCACCAGCACCCCTATGTTTATAGCAGCACTGTTTACAATAGCTAAGATTTGGAAACAACCCAAATGCCCAAAAATAGATGACTGCATCAAGAAGATGTGGTACATATACACCATGGAATATTACTCAGCATTCAAAAAAGATAAACACATGCCATTTGCAGCAACATGGATGGCGCTGGAAGGGATCATGCTCAGCGAAATAAGCCAGAAAGAAAAAGAAAAATACCGGATGGTCTCACTCATAGCAGGAATCTAGAAAACTTAAATAAGGGACCAGGAAAATGAATAACTATAAGAAAGTGAAAATCAAAATCAACAAACAACTATGAACCAGAGACACTCTATGGGAGGTGGGGGGCGGGGAGGGAGGGATGGGGTCAAAATAAGGGGGTCGCAATTGTATGGGGAATATAAAAATAAAATTTATAATTAAAAAAAAAAACAGAGCTGCCATAAATAAATAAATAAATAAATAAAAGAATCCGATGTGGTATCTAGATGAGCTGCTTGAGGTCTTGATGATATTCTGAACTGGGCTGTGAACTCTGAACTTGTAAACACTGAATTTATGCTTCTTTAATGAATTTTTCAAGTTTTCCTTTAGTACTATTATTATTCACTTATATAGTCCCCTTCAACCCCTCTTCTATTACTTATTACTAAGCTCCTTAAGGACAGACTACATAGTATTTATCTTTGTAGCGACTAGTTACACAGTGGGTGCTCACAACTACTTCTCGCACTAAAAATACAGAAGTCACAAAAATACCAAGGAGAGTATTAGAATACTGCAGAAAGATGGTGCTTCCACAGAAGGTAGATCAGCTAGAAACTTCTACTAAGAGGAGATAAGAAAGGAGAGTCAGGATTAGCTACATGGGTGGCGAGTTTTCACAGCTATGTTACTGCTTCTCACAGATGGTCTCGCAATACTGCTCAGGAGTTCTTCCATATGAGCGTGGCTAGCTGCTCCCATCTGCAGCCTCCAGCAGTCTCCTTAAGCACCCTTTTCCTTTCCTGTCCCCACACCTTGAACATTGCCTGCTTCACAAAAATAACAGAAATCCTTCAACTTATCTTTCTATCTGCCATCTCCCACTTCTCTATAGTTGTACTATTCTTCATCCTTCCCTCTCAAACTCTTTATTTCAGCCTGTCTTTCCATGCCTCCATACTTCTGCACATACGATTCCCTTGGAAACAAAAGCCCTTTTTCCACTGTGTTTGTTCATTTAGCTACTGCTCACCCATCAAATGTCATTCCTTCTAGAAAACTTTGCCTAATCCCCTGAAACAGTAGAGCCTGTCTTCTTTGTGTTTTCATACCACTGTGTGTACTCCCCCTATGAAAGCACACTACTTTGTAATTTTTAATTCATGGGTCTCATTCCCCCACAAATGCTAAATCTTTTTTTCATCTTTGTAATTCTAGTGCCTAGAACAGGGACTGTAATGTAGAAGACACTCAGTAAATATTATTGAATGTACAAAGGACAATATGGGTCTCCCTGCCTACATCCTTCTGAAAACAGATTGTAACATATTTTCCAGTAACTTCTGAAAGGAGTTCTGACAGAAAAGCAAATGTAAAAGGAGCTAGGATTTCCCCCCAATTGAAGTAATCTCCCTAACCTTGAATACAGACACTCTAAAGAAGAACAGGATACTGGAGCTTCTAACTGTATAGCCATGGCTTTACAAACTTAGCAAATTATTGTCTGTGCTTACCAATGTGGTGCCCTGAGCACAAAAGAGCGTGGGTACTACTGCTTGCTACTTATTACTCTGGGTGAAGAACCTAAGTTTTAAGATTATCTCCAAAGGAGAGGATTTCAAATGAACTAAATGGGGAAATAAATAACAGAATTTGCAAAACTACTATAAACTATATAGGAGAGATATGGGGAGAAAAGGCCTCAAAAATGATTCATAAATTAAGAGGTTATACTTAAAATAGATTGTCACACAGCATGACAGCTTCAGCTGTGGGAGAATGCCAAGACAATTCAAACTGTACTTGCTCCATCATGGTATTCAGGATTCTGTGTAGAACTTTGTTTAGATTGTACGGCTTTTACTCTTTCTTGAGGATCACTAACACTTTGATGTTAACCAAAGGTACAACTTCCTCCTCGAAAAATGCCTGTGTATACATATGCAAAATTTTCATTTAAGTTTAGGAGATTCATGGTTCCTACCCCCTCTAATGTAGATGGGTATGAATAACATAACCACCAGGATTTACTTATTATGTGGCAGATAATCTCCTAAATCACTGCATTATTTTCCTTTGCTTGGATTCCATATTTAGTAAATGCATTTGGATTAAAATGCAAATGCATTTTAATGCATTTGGATTCCTATAGGGTCTTCCAGGAAGGAGAGAATGAATCTCCACTGATCACAAGGACTCAAATGTGGTTACATTCTTCATCATTAGTAAATTAGCCATCTGAGCTTTCACTGAACTTCACTGGCTTGCCTGCTGTTGTAAGAGCTCTCAGGCCCTTTTTTCAGGGATGGTGCAGCGGAGGCGGCTGGCCTAGGAGCAGGTCAGGTCTCTCATGCCAGTGGGGTTAGGGTTGTGAAACCAAAGACAATTGCGAAAACTTGACAATTAGGTTTGAAACCCAGCCCACTGTTGGGAGGTGTGAAGGGACCCTTGAAAGCC